TCTGCCGTGTTGGTCTTCTGCTCCGCCGTGGTGGTCTTCTGCTCTGCCGGCTCCGCCGTGGTGGTCTGCTGTCTGGCTCTGGTGGTCCTCTGCCCCGCCGTGGTGGTCTACTGTCTGTCTCTGGGGGTCCTCTGCTCTGCCGTGGTGGTCTACTGTCTGGCTCTGGGGGTCATCTGCTCTGCCGTGGTGGTCTACTGTCTGGCTCTGGTGGTCCTCTGCTCCGCCGTGGTGGTCTACTGTCCTGTTCTGGTGGTCTTCTGCTCCGCCAGGGGGATCTTCGGTCCTGTCTGTTTTGCTGTGGTGGTCTTCCTCTCCACCTGAGCTGCCGGTTCTGCCGTGGTTCTCTGCTGCACCAGTCCTGCCTCAGTGCCCTAAAGCTTTGCATATGGATCCGCACGTCTCACGTCTCGTCAGCCCTGTTACAATTACCTTATATATTACTTATAATAGTGCTTTATAATTGACATTCAACTAATATATATATATATATAGTATATTTGATAACTATATTGTAATCATATATAATATTGTGCGCAATCTGGCACACCCAGTCTCTTAAGTCACATATGCGCTGATAGCTCTGAAGTAAACTAACCCTAAAACATAACCTACTCCAGAGCAGGTTATGTTCAGAGAGTAAGTTGCTATGTCTACTTACATACCCTGAGAGTTAGCTCCGTTTTTGGAACCGAAAGCTGAGTTTATCTGCTTACTTGCCCTTAAACATTCCCGGGTATGTCACATAACCTGCTTCCTGGAATACCCCCCAGACCAAGAGCAAGAGGAAAACGAATGCCTATTTCACACTACAGGATTTTAAGCCCGATTTGCAATTTAACGAGCTCGTCGACAGGTCAAAATCAGTGGGTGATCAGCGCTCGGCAATCTTTATGTGTGAACTACTCAACAACGCATCAAAGAGCCTCGCTGACACATCGCCATGCCTCGCCAACACCAATCAAATATCTATCAGGCTAAATATCTGGACCAGTCGGCTGACTTGACATCACGTGGTGTCTGGTGTCGCGACGTGCTAGAGCCAAAGAGAGAAAGGGATGGGTTGAGGTATATACTATATAGATAGATAGATAGTTGTATGATATGTTAATTATAAAACACTATTATAAGTAATATAAGGTAATATTCTAATATGTTATTATATTTATTTTATTGTCATATATAATAGTTATATAGTTAGGTAATGTTTATTTTATTCTAATATATTTATTATATTGTATTGTCTTCTCACACATCATGGATATGCATTTTCTATAATGTACTGTATTTCTATAATAAAAATACATATGTGATATTTCTTATTATATAATTAGCATCAAACAAACAATATAATTATTTTTCTCAGTGATTAAATGAAAAAAATAATTTAATTGCACAACCATCAATTAGGTGGCGATATGCAGTATCTAAATGACCATTGAACAAAAGAAGAAGAAAGAATAGTATGGTGTGCTTTTTCTTAGGCTTTGTCCAAATACCCACACTTGCAGTCTTTGCACTTGACCACTTGATTACTTAAATGACGTATTTCCTGTGTTGGCCGAAGTCTTCAAGTGGGTGTGAAGACCACAAGTGTGTGTCGAACTTTTCATTTCCTGATGGGACACACTTGTAGTGTTGTAAAACTGCAAGTGTTTACACAGCTTTATTTTAATTTTAATTTGAAATACTTTGCATTTTAAAATCAACTTCTAAATGTCTGTTCAGTAGTCCCTATAACATGATATAATTTTAATTTTTGGTGCTTCTAATTAAATGATAAAAAGCAGTTGCAAATGTTGTACAAAATAAAAATCACCACAACTCATCTTTGCACCAATAAAAGTAAAAACACTGTTTTTCTACCAAATTATTTGTAATATCTAATTATTATATTAATATTTAACTTACATTGGAAAGGTTTCCGTGACCTCTTGCGAGATCTCGGCAAAAATATTTCCAGAACATGATGCATGATTGGATACACTTAGCCTTGAATAGCGCTCTGGAGCGGTATTCGAGATAGTGTGGATTTAGTATCCATTAAGGGCACTGCACTTTGGCATTTTGAAGACATGGGACAGACTTGCACACTTACTTCCTGTCGCGCGCACGCGCTCTCAAGTGGCCAAGACCGCAAGTGTGGGTATTTGGACAAGGGGTTAGAGTCCGTTTCGTCGATTCGTGGCTCTGTTGAGAATGTCTTGAGTGTTAACCAGGAACATACTCGGAGTTGACTGAACTTACTCCTGGACGCGTTTTTGGAACCAGCATACCTCACGTAAGCCAGGTTTGGGTTAATCAACCGAGAGTTCAGGGTATATGTGACGGTAAGTTAACCTTGCTTTCTGGAATACACCCCAGAACTCATTAACAACCTACAAAGCTAACTAGAAACACAGACATGAACAGAACAAGAAAACAGAAAAACAAACTCCTTTGTCTGCCAGACTAATAAACACTGATGTTAATAATTTATCAACCAGTTCAAAGTTGTGCTCTTAAGGGGTTAAGTGGTTTGGTTTCAGAAGTGGAACGCTTTACCTCCCTCACATGAATAAAAGATGAAGCTCATAGCTGTGGAGCTGGCAGCCTGTCAAGGGCTTTTCCTGCTTATTTACCTTCTTTCATTCAGGTTAAAACTTCATCTTAGCCCGACACAACAAGAGAGATGGTAATTTGATTTTATTTCTCTCTAAACTTCCTTCTGGTAAGACAGAAGGGGTTAGAGGGTTTTATGGATGGTGCCGTAAGTGGTCCGTGATGCAATAACTCTGAACACACACACGTACTGTCAGATATAGACTAGGATTGCCGGCTTTGTTTCAACGAAGCGATGAACTAATATATCTCATTGATGTCAAGAGCATTTTTCAAATACTTGCTTCACTGCACTACCAGTGTGCGGTTGCTACATACAGTAGACAACTGGGAAGAAAAAAACATAGCATCACATAACAAACATCAAAAACATACTTTAAAAATTCACTCAATAAGTTTTAGTTTATATGTCACTCAGTAAAACAACAGTGATTTTAGACTTTAAACTCATAAAATTATCACTGAATAGGAGGATATAAAGTCTTCAAACTTCAGGGATATTATGGTTTTACACTTTGAGAATTAATTTTTCCTCAGACCAGCAGGCCCAAGAGCAGTGTTGCCAGATTGGTTGGGTTCCTGCCCAATTGGGCTGTTTTGAATTTGATTGTGCGGGTAAAAATTGGCTTGGGCGGGTGAACAAAATTTGGGCTGGTTTGGGGTCAGTTTGGCGGTTTTCAATATAAATGGCATAGGCTAATTGTTTAACAAAACAAGCCCAAGTATGTATACTGCATCCAATCAGTCATCATAACGTTACTACACACACACACACAGCAGAGGCGTTGGTGCTGATGTAAACGTTGACAGCCGCGCTAATCACGAGGGCGCAGCAGACCGTCATTATGATTCATGAGTGACAAGTTTTTAGCGAGATAAGTTATAACGTATCTGATTTTGAATGTAGTGACTGTATATTCAAGTAATCACAATGCCTAAATATAAGTTAAAGAGTGGGAGAGTGACTCAACTCTCAAAAGTGAATTATTGTGGAGTGAGATGACACGAAGGCTCTATCACTGCAACTCCGAAATCAGAGCACATTTGAATTAATCATAACCGAAACTCTTTTATATTTTAAACATCCAGATTGATAAATCCTTGAAAACTGCTAGACTTGATTAGTTTTGATTGTGCAAAGTTCTGTATCATGTTCTACAATATGAACTTAACAAGAGGCTTCCTCTAGTTCTGTGTAAAATTATAGAGCGACACGAAGGAAAGCGCATTATTGTTGTTGATATTTTTTTAATTGTCAGATTATAATTAAGTATCAATGAATGACACCGTTTTGAGTTGACTCTCATGGTGTGCGCATGAACGAGTGTGAAATACCTGCTAATTAATAGCTTTTTCCTATCACTTATGTTGGGCACTTTTTGCATTTAAACTGGATTGTTCTGACTGCTGACATTGAAAATCATGCATGTGTTGTTTCGAGGGTATCGGTTAATTTCATGATTGCCGTTTTGATAGTGTCTGCTTGCATATTTTATTCATGTTCGGTAGCCTAATTCTCTTTAATGTAGGCTATTCACCCCGATTTGATCCGTTTACCTGCAAATTTATGAAAATGGCCCTTATCAACCTTGATTTACATATTCTATAACATTATTTTGACAGTTAAAGTTTTGGGCGGGTTTTTGTGAGCTTTTGGGCTGGAAATCGTCCATCCAATCTGGCAACACTGCCCAAGAGAGTTATTTTGTCTTCACCACTGACCTGTGCAGTTGTCCTATAGGTTAAAGGACACCAAAGGTCATATCAGCAGGTGTAAAAGAGTGCATTCACAGACAGATTAAAATGAAAGATTAAAAAACATATAATGCAAAACATTTATAACCTATTTGTTTTTACTGTAAAATAGCCTTCTTTGATTGCATATTGTATTGGAAGGTTGCCATATTAATGTACCATAGTTTACATGCTCCTAGGTACTTTAAAAATAATATTTATTTATACATTTTTTGTTCACAAAGAATATTTGTGTGCGTGTTGTGCCATTCGTCTGTTGCATTAATGTTTGATGGGAAGGTGGTGAAGAGAGTGTGACACACCCTCTTGTTTCACCTACTGTTCTCTCTCAGTTATTCATGACTTCTGCTCCCTTTCTCAGTATTCATTCCATCCTTCAGTCTGAACTTTCACTGCCACAGACGTCAGATCAGCCCTAATCCGCACCATTTAATGTGTTAGAGGTGTGCTATTCATTTTTATAGTGATCTGGGTGCAAGATACAATTTTGTGGAAAAATGAAGGAAGGACTTGAGTAATACCTAGTGACCAGACTATCATAAAGATTATAGATTTCGTTCAATTGTTGTCAAATTCACAGAGTAAAGGTTACACCAAAAGCTTACTAATTTCTGCAATCCCTGTGGTGTCTTTTTGACTATTTTTGGTGGTGTTGAATGACCATGACAAGTCCTCACTGATATAAACACCAAGAAATGTATAAGACCCTACCTTTTCCATCACTGTAACATATATACGAAGTGGCTTGTGGTGCTGTCCTGTAGCAAGCCTTCTAATATCCACAACTATCCTGATGTTCAAAGTTAAGTTACTTTTTCTGCACCGTGGCACCTCGCTCCTGTATTTTGTCTTGTCGTCACCACTGATGAAGCCTATGACAGTGGTATCATTAACAAATTTAATGATGGAATTGCTCTGATAGGTGATAGGTGTTAATGATTAATGTCTTACAGGTGATGTTCTCAAAACTGACAGACTGTGGTCTGCCTGTAAAGAAATCCATGATCCATTTGCAAAAAGAGGTGTGCAGTCCAAGTGCACTCAATTTGTCTGTAAGTTTTGATGGAATAACATTATTAAAAGCCGAACAGTAATATATAAATAGAAATCTAACATAGGAATCCTTTTTCTCTAAATGTGAGAGTGCAATGTGAATTGCTGTTGAGATTGCATCATCAGTCGATATATTAAACTTTAGTGGATCCAATGTAGATGGAATGTTTTGTTGAATATAGGTCTTAACAAGTCTCTCTAAACATCTGGAAATGACTGGAGTAAGTGCTATTAAAATAATAGTGGTTGTCTTAAAACAATTTGGTACAACAGCCATAAAAATGGACAGATAAAAAATATCTGTGAAAACTCCAGATAATTAAGAAGCATACAACTGTTGAACTGTATAAAGCAAACTCAAAAACACATTTGGAAAATTAGTTACCAAAAGTGAAAGAAGCTTGTAAAGATGTCTGCCATAACGGTTGCCATCTTGTATCTTCATGGCAAGCACTTTGCACAAATTCATCCTGCTTTTGAGGAGAATAATTGTAGACGGGTGTTAATTGCGCACGCACCCGCAGGCGGCTCACGTGAGTCAACATGTGTCAACAGAACCAGGAACTAAAGCCCTGCATTTCAGCCCGGGCCCAAACTTTTTTACGCCCCTAGGGCCCGGCTTCAGGCCAATTTTCATGTCATAGTTCAGACGTGGGCCGGGCCTCGGGCCTGTCTTAGGCTTCTCCTTATTTTTATATTTTAGACATCCATCAAGTGATGAAAAAAAATGGCCTCAGGCGGCTCACGTGAGTCAACATGTGTCAACAGAACCAGGAACTAAAGCCCTGCATTTCAGCCCGGGCCCAAACTTTTTTACGCCCCTAGGGCCCGGCTTCAGGCCAATTTTCATGTCATAGTTCAGACGTGGGCCGGGCCTCGGGCCTGTCTTAGGCTTCTCCTTATTTTTATATTTTAGACATCCATCAAGTGATGAAAAAAAATGGCCTCGCTGGTGGAAACAACACGAGACCGTGCTACCACGACTGTCAAGAGCGGCTCGACTGTGTTTAGTGTCCAGCAGCAGTAGCATGCGTGCAGTCAGCGCAGCTGAAGAGATCTGCATTCAAATGCACGCAATAGGCTAAATCTTGCCGCAAAGCCCCAGCAAAAGTAATTACCATGAATGTGTCAGGGGGGAATAGTAAGGAGATATTTTAATTATTTACTAATAAACTGTTTTCTGAGTCGGTGTCGCAAGGATGAAGTTGTCGATCCTGACTCGCCATCTCCTCATTATACCGCCTTTAGAGAGAAGTGCATCTTTATGGTTTTACGATTATAATTAAAGAGTTTTTGCTTTCGATTTGTTTTATTTCGTTAAGTAGTAATTTAAAGCTTTCTATAGATATATTTATCATGTCTGTGAGACATGTATTCGCTGAGTTTTGGTAAATATTTGTGAAGCGCTCCTGTTCAAGATGAAACGACAGAAAGCGCATCATGTTTGTTTTCTTTATTTTATAAAAGCACAATGTTTTGTTGATATTATGAGTGCACACAAATAAAAGAAGACCCTTTACAGTTCCGAATGATGTATTACTCTTATCTTTACGAGCAAAAATGGCGGCGTATCCACTGAAAAAAAATGCAAGTGATTGCGTTGATGCCTCCATGTCCTGTAAAGCACGCTTTGCACTCTCCACGCAAACTATTGGATATAGCGCACATCTAGGTTTAAAATTTAAACATTGTTATATGCTTGAACTGTTTTATATCTAGGCATATAGATTTTATTTTAGGCAAGTTGTGATGATTTGAGAAGGCTAAATTGATCAAACATAGGCTATGATCAGCCCACTGTCTGCCGCTGGCCGCTTGGTTGTTACTTTAAAAAATAAAAACTTGTAACGAACAAACGTTTTCTAAATTAACTTAATAAAAAAACGAAACAAAATATAATCACTTTGCCATTACATACAAAACTGAACTATTTTAATGAAATAGCTGAAACAGTAGTATAAGCCGTTTTGGGAGAAGGGGAAAAAAAGACGGGCTCAGGCCGGTAATTCTGATAAGCTGTCGGACACTTAAGCTGTAGAATATTTAAGGCCCGTACGTGCAGGGCTCTACCAGGAACTATGATGAAGCAGAGCTAAATATATAGCGTTATGTCAAAATAATCACTTATTTAATTTTAAATTAAACAAATGTAATCCTGATAGTATTCCCACTTTTTACAAAATGTAACTGTAATCTGATTACTTTGCTTTTTGATGTAACTGTAATGGATTACAGTTACTAGATTTGTGTATCCTGATTACGTAACGCCGTTACATGTATTCCGTTACTCCCCAACCCTGGATTTCTTACAGTATTCTGATTAATAGATAGGTATGATTAATATATTCTATATAATTGATCATTTGTGAAATCATGTTTCAGTCACCCAGAGACACCAGCAGGTAACATTTGAGCCACACCAAAAAAAAAAATCCCTATAAAACAGTCAGAATCCAGTATAACAAATGCTGTGCTATAAATATTCTTAATCAAATGGTCAGATCTGTTGTTGTCTACATTAACATGGACACACACACACACACACATTTAATTGTCTATGTAAATGAGGACACACTATAAGTTCGATGTCTACTAAATATGTACAGTTGTGGTCATAAATTTACACGCCTTGAAGAATCTGCAAAATGTTAATAATTAATGTGCAAACATTCACTGATGCCCAGGAATGCAACTTGATGCATTAAGAGCCAGGGTATGTATACTATTGAAAAGGATGATCAGTTTAAATAGTTCTTATTTTATTTAAAGATCCTATTTTTACATTTAGTAGTACCCTTCAGAAGCAGCATAAAATCGTGTTTTAAAATCTGCACACACAGTTTTGTGTGTGTATAAAGGTGTGTGATAGTGTTTCTTTACACTATTTAGTGTTTATCTTGACCAGGAGTATGACATAGTGAGGAAGTGTGTGTGCTAAATGCCTGTCATGAGCTGTAATACAGACTGTCAAAACAGAGTCAGACAGCGTGAAGGAAAGAGAGACAGAGATGAGGAAATCGAGAGAGACAGCACAATGAAGGAAAGAGAGACATAGAGATAAAAGGATAGGAATAACATTTAAATATAAGTAAAAAAAAAGTAATTCTGTATTATATCATCATGTGCATCCATGAGAAACACTGTACTCTGTTTATGTTTCTTCTAATGGAATTCATCAGGCTGAAAAGAATGATACCAGGTCGGATAACAAGACATGTTTCAATCAGATTATCCTCCTCTTTGATTTGCTCTGGGTTTCATGAGCGCTCAGTGTCACGTCACCCACATCCAACAGAAGCTTGTTGTCCTGATGAGAGGGTCATAGCAACCACCCTCAGACTACAGACACCCAGCAGCCCCTGTGACAGCTTTATCATGCACACGCACATACACGTTCCTCCCAGCAGTCTTTGTTGCAAGCATCTGCTTCTCCTGGTGATTAATTGCAATTAGCGGTGAAGTTGAAAGCCCGTGGAAGAATGCAGCACGCAGCAGACACTTCCTGATTAATGAGGGACAGCGGCTATCAGAGGGCCACCACAGCCATGAGGGCCATGTGCTTATGTGTATGTGTGTGTGTTTACTGCTTCATGTTTTAAAGGTTTATTCTTCTTTTAGCACGTCAGTATGAATCTCCACAGGAAGAAACATGACAAAATTAGAGAGTGAGAGAGAGGGTGAGAGAGTGAGTGCCGGCTCAGGGGGCTGATTAAATTTGGAAAGTATAATTGCTAATTGACCTTTATTAATCAGAGTGGAGCAATGTGTGTTTGCCTAATATTCCAGCAGGGGGTCATGAGGCATATTTCAGAGTTGTTCTTTTTTTAACTCAAATGAAGGGGTCTCTTCTGTGTAAATTTGAGCTAATGGTAAAACAACAAAGCACAGGTTAATATGAGAACGAGCTAATTTTCTGTCTAGCAAGTATAAGCAGTCCTTGTTGCTAAATGTACACTACATTTTCTTTTAATACACTACGACTCAATTCCCTTTCTAAAATTGTGACTATCCTTGTTTTAGTTACCTCGCTTCTGCAAAAATATGTCCGCCTGTGCACAACAGTTTAACTAACTGTTTTTGCTGTATTTAATTGACACAGTGTAGGTTTTGATGTCTTTCTAATATATTTTCTGAAGACACCACAGCACTAGCGCTTCCCATATTAACAATTATTGGCTAGCTCGCCAGCTTATATTTGCTAAATCTAGCTAACATTTGATTGGTTTTGTGTAATGTGTCTCTGTGTAGAGAATTTAAGGATCAAATGGCACATCATCCTTTCCGGCAGCTCCTGCATGGGAAGAACAATTGAGTCAGTATGTTTGTTATAAAATAGTTTGAAGTAAAATTAAATATTCATTATCTAATGTACTTGAGAGGAGATGTTTCAGTGTCTTGGAGTGATTTTGAGAATGGTGACATTCTCAAACATGTTTGTTTTTTTTCTTCATTTTTTTTTTCATTTTTACACTTTCGAACTGAGGTATTAAGTAGTGAATATAGTCACATAACCAGAGACCCTCGTCTTGCTCACAACACAACTGAGACTTATGAAACCACCTGGTGCACATAGCAATCTATCTTGTTTGACCACTTGTGATCACCTGGGCCCAGTGGCATGAAAGCTCTTATGCTAAGAAATCCCTTAGTTATAAGGTTAAGGGAGCCCTTAGTGAAACTTGGGTTGCAAGAAAAAATCCTAAGGGTCAACTTAAGGAACCTTAAGGCTGCCATCAAGTATTCCCCTTAATTATTTAAGCGTTCCCTTAA